GAGAAACAGGAAAAAGCCTGCACGGTTCTTGTTCATCACGGTTTTACTTAATTCTGATCTTGACTTTGCCCATTTCTCTTTCTTTGGAGGGCGAGTCCAAGAGAAAATGAGCACATTTATTCTTGTAAGTTCCTTTATGTGTCATTTCTATCAAGATGATGAACTCTTCCATACCAAGGAGGATGATAACTAGCTTCTGGTCTGAGCTATCCTAGCTGCCTCAGTGATGGTTTTATTTTTTAACTTCAGGTGGGTGCCCCTCTCAGAACTGATGGAATTTCAGGAGAAGTTTGAGGACAGAATTTTTTTCTAGGTTATATCAGGTGGTGAAGCACTTCTTAGTGGTCAGAGTATCTGGTCACTGTCTACTTCTGAGTCTCTTACTGAGCCAAGTGCTTATCTAGGGCTTGTCTAGTGTGGAATATTCCTTTTCGATGAAGTGGAATTTGTGTAAGGAGAAGCACTCTGACCAAATAGGAGTGGGGTCCTATGGCTCTGTTTTGACTCTCAATATTATGGAGCAGATGCTGTGAGCACACCTAGAAGGGGAGTATAAAGGTCTCTGTGTCCTCCCAGAGTTTTAGGTGGAGGTACAGGGTCGGTTGTTGTAGAATCATTCCCATTGTTTTATGGATGAGGAAACTAATGCCCAGAGAAGCTGAGTGATGAAATCCACATCATACATTTTTGCTTATCCGAAAAAGATCTGGAACACAGAACTCATAGCCCTGTGTCCAACTTTTTTTTTTTTAAATATATAGCACCTGCTTCTGATTCCACAAGACTTCTGAGAGGTCTTAGGGCAGCTTTCTATTCTGTCCAATTCATTTTTTTCCCTTTTCCTCGGCTTACTCAAGTGCTTGGTTTGGCAGTATAAAATTATAATCTATTTTAATATATTTTTGAGCTGGCTGCCCTCTGCCTACTTCTCATGAAGCATAAGTTCACATAAGCCAGTTATGTCCTTCAGAAAATATATATCAGACTAACACATACATTTTCTTTAATAACAATGAAGAGACATACTGGTTAAGAGCACAGACTCTGGAGGTAGCAGTAGGAATCCCAGGTTCATCACGTACTAGGTATAAAACCACTTTAAGTCACCTTTTTTCATTACTAAAATGGTGATAATATAGTTTTATTTTTTTAAGATTTTATTTATTTTTAAAGAAGTAGGAAGGGAGAAAGAAAGGGAGAGAAACATCAATGTATGGTTGCCTCTTTTGCGCCGTCCACTGGGGGTCTGGCTCACAACCCTGGCATGTGCCCTGACTGGGAATGGAACCAGCGCCCCTTTGCTTTGGAGGCTGGCACTCAATCCACTGAGCCACACCAGCCAGGGCTAAAATGATGATAATAGGTGATAATTTAATAATAATAAAACCTGTTTCATAAGTTATTGTGAGGAATAAATAGCCCATGTAAGCACTCAGTACAGGTACTGGGACATCATAAATATTCAATAGAGATAATTATTCTTTTTAGATATGCTCAGTTTTTAGTTTATTACTCATACAGCATTGTGATTGCCTCGACTTGAAAAATCATAGAACATTGTCAGCATGAACTTAATCTTGTTTCCACACACAGCACAGCATATCTCTGGCAATTCCAAGGATCAGGTGTGTGTAGGTACCTACATGCCTTTCTGCCTTCATTCTCTCAGCCCTCCTCCCTTCCCTTCCTTCTTCATCCTCTCTCTCTTCCTTTTAATTATTTTTCAAAGGACTTGAGGAAATCTCATGTTAGGACAGTGACAGCTAGGTCATTTAAGGAGAGATCAGAATGAAGGCCATGTGAAGGAAACTAAAAGCATCATTTTCAAACATATGAACTGAACAAGATTAAACACTTGAGAAATACCGGTTGCTTTAAAAATTTGGGCAGTTAAAGCTTAAAATTAGGTTATACATTGCATTTTCTGACAGTGAAAAATAAGATACCTCAGATCTTCAGGTTATACATTGTAGTTTCTGACAGTGAAAAACAAGATACCTCAGATCTTCAAAGGCAAGTTATTTTTCTCTCAATAGGGCTAATTTAACAATTTTAGACTCTCCTTATATACTTGTAAATCAACTCTTGATCAATAAATTGTACTTGATAGACAACTCAGCCTTAACATTTATAGGTCACATTTTTATATTCTTTTTGTTTTTTAATATGGCCTCATTATAATCTGGTTGTTTGTTAAAAGATTATTGTTCAGATTATGCATGGAAGTAATTCACTGTCAAAATGAGTCATTTCTGAGTGGGTTGCATATTGATATTTTCACTAATTTTTTAAACAGGCAATGGGGATGAGTCATGCAATTATTTTAAAAACAAAGTTTTCAATATAGATTCCTCATATTTAAACCTAATCAAAAGTTAATATGTAGAATTTTTTCAGATATTACCTTACACAAATTAGATAGTAAGTTTTGTATGAATTTGAAAGGCATTTGTGTACAATCTTACTGTTTGGTTTCATTTGTTTTCACTATACTGGAAAACAAAATGCTTGTAAAATATATAGGACAACATTGTTCTCAGTTTTGTAAATGTTAACTGTATAAACAAAGAAGAACTCTAGAAACTGTACTTTCCAGGGAAATAAAAGGAATATTACTCTGAGCCTGTGTTACCTTCATCAAGTTGTAAAGAAACTGCCTTTACATTTTTTGGAAATAGAAAGTTTTTTCTTTTAATGCATGCATCAGATATAGATTGAATGTACACTCTGCCTACATTTTCTTTCTTAAACTTTTACAATAGTTGAGTTTTTACTCTTTGTTATGTGAAAGATTATTGGGTTATGCCCAAAACTCCTATTAAATTAAAAATTAAGCTATTAACTTCAGGTATCATTATCATTTCTCATTCATAGAACAACCTCATATGAAAATAAGTAAGAATATATTATTTTTTAATCTGGTGGCGTTATGGTTGAGATTTTTATATTTTTAAGACCTAAGAACAATTCTCTTAAACAATGTCTAGTGTTAGGAAACTAGCTCACTTTGGTATTCACTCAGCCTTAGATAGTTCTTTCTCTTTTTTTAACTTCAAACTTAATGCTTAATTTTTATAATGGTTTTAACCTTTTAAAAATGTTCTAACATTTTTAACATGGTCAGACATGAAGACTGTTCTTTTGTTGTTGGTTATGATTCATTTCTATATGAGTTTTCAAGAAAGCTGTTAACGCAATGTGTAGTGATGGTATACCATAGACCTGTGTGGGAGAGACTTACATGTTCAATTTGATAAGTATAATCATTCTGTATTTATTCTAAGGTTAGTGATGAGAATCGTGTAACTTCAGAGGATCACTCTTTGCTTATCACAGTACCTGATATGAGGCATAGACTTTGTAGGTGACTTTGGTTCCCTTTCTGTTTCTGGACTCTGAGTCTCAGCTAGCCTTTGGTGTTCTGTGAAAGTATCCTTAGCATGCCAGAGTTCTATCATCTCCTGAGGGTTATAACCAGGACAATGTAGGAGGTGCTGCTCAGTCTGTTCTGAGAGAGAAGAAAATTTCATGGAAATAAAATATAAGTTGAATGGAGGGAAACTAACTGGGTTAGGTTTTATGTAGTGACTTTGCAAACTGAACCAGGTGTTAAAAAGATCAGAATCTGTAGTGACTGTTGAGGGTGAAGTTTGGCCCAGCACACCTACTTAGAAGGTCAATGGTGGGAGGAAAGGTTTTCAGTCTTTTTTTCCAATTATGGATTTGTGTGTAGGAGAAAGGATGTTCCATTTCCTCTTTGATTGTGAAATGTTCTTCCCATGGGGTCTTTTATTGCATTGGTTCCAGCAGTTTAACCTGCCATCTCACTTAAGCATCATTTCTATAGAGTCTCCATGTTTTTCCTTAAAATTCTTGAGTTTTCATTCCCTGTTTAGTGAAAGGGACATTAGAGCTCTGCATATTTGTGGGAAGTTTTAGGGCCATCTCAGATAGAAATCTAGATAGTCTGAGCTTATTTCAGAGATCTAGGAAGAGTAATGCTGTAGTTAATGACCTGGAAATTTGTTGAAAAGAGTTTGTTTACTTACTGAAAGCATTCATTTGTATGTGATTACTATAGTTTGATTTTTTCTGATAACTACTCTTTAATGTAGTAATGGAGGTAGATAATGAAAAGCTATGAATAACTTCAATTTACATAGAAGAGATTACTGACAAAGAGAATTTAACATAAACTGTAGGCAATGTACAGTATTTGGGATATTTTATGATAATTTAAGAAATGGTCATTTTTGAGGATGTTTCCTTATAGAATTTGTTTTGAAACAATTATAAGTAAAATCTGGCTTTCACAACAAGAATGATATAAACTAACATTGGCTGTGTACTGATTCCAGGCCAGAGACTCTGCTAAGTACTTGATGTTTACTTTATCTAATCCTAACGACAATCCTGGACACTAGGTGCACTTCATTTGTTCCTAATGACAACCCTGGAGACTGGGTGCTGTTTTTGAAAATGATTTCAAAAGACACTTGTGATTTTAAGGAAGTGTGAGTAGTGAAAAAATAGAGAAGAGAGGTTGATCACCGTATAGACCTTGGCTTAAATAGGATCTGCATTATCATTCATAAATATTATAAATATTTGGATTCATTTTGAAATGTTGTTAAGTAGTCATTAATTTTGACTATTTGTTTATTTTATTTTATTTTTCCATTAAGGGCTGATTGTGTGTAAGAAACTGTTAAATGTTTTGGTGAGAATATAGATTATTTAAACATGGGATTTGAGAGTTTACAGTAAAGTAAGGAACAGTGACTACGGTTTGAATCTGGGCAGAAGTATAGACAAGTGTGAAGCCCAGCAGAAAAACTGGGTAAACTCAGGAGAAGCCTACTTCATGACAGTCTGATGAGCTTCCTGAGAGAGAGCTTGCCCCAGGGAAGAACTCAGCTATTCTGAGCTTGACTTGGTCTTGGGCACTGAAAGACAGAGCAATTCTGACCATGTGATTGTTGTTCTTTGTGTTTTTCTTTTTAAATATAGAATGCTTCACAAATTTGTACGTCATCCTTGCACAGGGCCCATGCTAATCTCTGTATCATTCCAATTGTTTAGCACATATGCTGCCAAAGTAAGTGCTCTTTGTATTTTCCTATTTCTCCAGCTCTCAATAGATTTATGTCTGAGCCTCATGGAAATATAGGACGGCATCTAAATAAAAACTATAGTGAGAGAAGCTTTGTTCATGAGTATATGGGGAACATGCCTTGGAGTTTCCTAGAAACTTGTATGGACCCAGTAATCCCATCAGCAGGTCCAAGAGTTGGTGACATTTAAGTTAGACCCGTGGGTGCCTGTAGGTGGTGGGTAAGATCTGACAACATAGTATTTATAAAAATAACTGTTATACCAATGAAAATGAAAGATGCTGAGATAGAGATAGAGAGAGACAGAGAAAGACAGGGAGAAAGAGGATAAGAGAGAGGGAGGGAGGGAAGTTTGGGAACTTGGCAATTGGTGTGGATGAAAAGGGAAGAAAGTTTTGGGATGACTAGGAAATATGGAAAACAGAAGAACAGAAGAAAAACATTTGATAAATTCTCTCTAAGACTCATTGAGTGTGAACTTCCAATAGGATGTGCAGAGAGAGATGTTTAACAGACAGCCAGGAGTTGTGGGAACTCTGAAGACATACATGGCCAGGTAAAGAAATTTAGAAGATATGGGCATAAAGGCAGTACCTGAAGCTGGGACAGTGAACGGAGTTGAGGATGACCAGATGGGAGAACTGAAATTTGAGCAGAAGGCATAGAGATTCCCCAAGTCCCCATTTGCCCCCTACATATTCAGTGAATACTTATTTATATTTAGGGAGCAAGAAGAATAGGAGCCAGAGAAGAGACAGAAGGAAGTAACCAAACAAAGGGAAGGAAACTCAAGAGTAGAAAGTTTATAGAATCCAAAGAATTTAAAGTCTAGGGTCAAGTTTAAATGGAAAAAATAATTAAATTACATAGTCCTTTTTGTTTGAAGTGATCTTGTTAACTAAAATTATGCCAAAATAGTATCCCTAAGAAGAAATCCTTATAGAATCTACTAAGTATAGAATCTGTTCAAGTATTGGTATCATGAAGTTATATTTGTTCATGGCCAAGGCAGCCAAATGATATATCAAAGTTTCTCTCTTAAAAGGTAAAACATTTCCCCCAACTCTTCTGATTCTCAGATCAGAAAATCATTTAAATCCATTTGACTCATCTTCCTCATGTTAAATATGACCATACTCTGTTTTCTACAATTGCCTAGAAATATATCTTACAAAATTAAAATAAAAATAACTGAGTTTTTCTGTCCAAGAATTATTTGTGGGAGAATTTAACCACTAACTTGTTTTAACCTTCCTGTTTAGTCTGCTTATAAGCGTCTTCAGAACCTTTACTATAAATGAGTCATTGCTGAGGTACAGATTAAAAGTGAACACCCCAAATTGACAGTAGGAGTAAGTGGAGAGGATATTTGGAGAGTGGTAATACGTCTATATAGGGGAACTTCCATATTTCACTGTATAGACTGACATGCATATTTTATAATGTGCATGTGTTTATTTATTGCAATGCATAGATGTACTTTTTGAATTGGGATTATTATTATGCATGGTGAATGATATTGTGGATTGGATATTGTGTTTGTTATTTGTGTACACTCTAAAATGAATATCACATACTTGATATGAATAGGGGCACATATGACTTTAAAAGGTCAGCATAAATGTGAGGGCATTTATATCCACGTAGATGGATGATAAAGCATTTACCTTGCAAGTCAAAAGAGACAGGAGTGCTCTTAACCCTGTATTGAACATTCACAACAACAGGAGACATCAAGTATTTAGGTAGAAAACAGACTGAATGGCTATGGAAAATTTTATGTTAGGCTAGTAGGCTGAATGTGAGTGTTGCTCCTAACTTTCCATTAATCTGAAAGGATTTCATGAATGAAGTGGCAGGATTTGTGTGGTGGTTTAAATGGTCGTTGAGAAGGTGTCCTATAAACAGTGGATCAAAACAAGGTCTGTTCTCAGCATATCCCAATCTTACACAGTTGGGTGTTTTAGTTGTCAAGAGAAATAGTTTGGCTAACATGAGAAAAAATGGAATACACTGGACGTATTTTAGATGACTCACAAAAATTGATGGAAAAGCTAAATAATCAAGCCTCAAGAGCACAAACTAGGACAGCCAAGAACTCTGTAGAAATCCTATTTCTGGGAGATTGGAATGGTCAGGTTCCAACTGTCACCATCATGTATGACCTTTATGCAAATTCCCAGGAATGATATTCCGATAAGGTCATGTTGGACCGGGTCACCCTTTGAAAGATGGCATGGTAATTCAGCCACATGGACTGCAGAGGAGCTGGTCTCCGAAAGAAGACTGAAGTGGAAGAGAAAAGAGGTGCTGGACAGGCAAACACAAGAGGCCTGCCATAGACATTTACGGTGCTTTGTGCTTCTTGTTAAAAAACATGGAATGGGAGTAAAAGGGAGAAAACTGTACTTGAACAATGATTAAAATAAAATAATATATTAATAAAACAAAACAAAACATGGGCTTGGGTGCTCTCTGAAATTAAGTCTAGATTTATAGACACTTACATTCGCAGATAAACACACCCACATATGCATGTTTTAAGTACTGCTTTTGGATGATCTCTGCTGCTTTTTCCCTCCATTCAGTACTCTTCAGGTTGATAAGCCAAGTGACACACTACAGGCTGCCTTTCTTTCCTCAAAGAGAAAATTTAAAGAAATATGAGAGGCCTCCAAAAATACATTACTATAGAGTGTAATATATGAAAAGTACTGAGTTGAGCTTAATATAGAGAGTCACTTTTTGGTTGATAATGAAGGCACTTTATTTTTTTAGGCAAAGAAGTGTGTTTCCACATTTTATTTGAGTAGAATTTACATTGACTTACATGAATATTCTCATCTGCCAGTAGGAAGAGATTCTCCTGCTAAAATAAGTGTTTCCTTCTGGTGTACTGTTTCACTTCTGGTTCAGAGCTTGATTTACTACAATTAAAAACATGTACTGTGCTGTCACCAAAAATCTAGAGCTTGCCCCTTACATTTGTGAGTAAGTTGTTTTAGATAGGTTCTCATTTTACTTTATAATGGGAAAAAAATTCCCATGGTAGTTCATACACTTAGACAAAAGAAAAAAATCTCCCAGAGTCATTTCTGCAGACCTTTCAGGTTCCAGATCTGCGATTCTTGAACTTTGTTCAGCATACGTCCCACCTGGGGTGCGTGCTAACAGTACCGACGTCTGGGTTGACTTCCAGAGGTTCGGCTTTAGTTGGGCTGGTGGGAGCTCTGGACTCTAGTTTCACCAAATAGCCCAGTTGATTGTGATGCAAGTGACCTGTGGACCACGCTCTGGAAAACCCTGCTCTGGAGGATTTTATATTACTTTCTCAATAGTGTTGAAGAAGTAAATATTATGTATAATTTGTTCAAAGGTTTGGAACTGGACTGTTTTAACATCGATTGTTCAGAACATACACTGATGAACTACCCTTCTACTAAAGTGGTTAGAATTGCTATTAATGAAAACATTAGAAAGTTAGTGAGAAAGCAAAATTTGTGAATGAATTCTGTATTCTCCACTAACATTTTACTTCCAGATGCATCTCATATATTAACAACACTTTATTTTTGTATAAGAGAGTATTCCAGGGTAAGTATAGAATGTTCCTTTTTCCCTGTTCATTTTTGGAACAGGTTGGTGTTCTCTGCCTAGTATAGTAGGTGCACCAAGACTGTAGTTTTGTCCTATATTTCTTTTAAAGTTATATTCTCATGCATGTACCTTTTTTTCTGAAAGCGGAGTTTTTTTTTAGCTTTTCTAGTAAACACCCTTTTATTACATCTACTTTTCTCAAAATAAGATGGTTTGATATGTGATGTCATTTTTTTAACTAACCACGAGGAGAGCTAATGCTGTCAGGGATACTGTGGGATGGATTTTAATTGTCGAAGGCACTGTGAACTGTGTAAAACGTTATGTGGAGCAGGTATACCAGGATGGAGCACAGCAATCAGAAACTGAGTGTTTCCTTTTGAGTGAAATTATTAACATTGTCAGCCTCGGAATATACTGGCCAGTTCTGTAACACAAAGGACATATTTTACTACATGTAATATGGAAAACATTGGTTACGTATTACTCCTTTTAGTTTTGCTTGAACAGTCATCTGCAGAAGCATCCGCATGTGCAAAAAGAGAGGTTGGACAACTAAGGGCCACACAGCTGACAGCTGCATTTGATAAATGACTGTAGCTTTTGAAAGGCTGAAACAGGAAAAGCAAACCTAATCTTTTCTTAAAAATCATTTAGCTGAAAAAAGGTACTTTAAGCGCAAATAATGGCTTGTCTTTGGTGATGTGATTTCAGCAATGTTTTTAAATTTTTTAAAACTGATTTTTATTGTACTTTTTCCATTACCATTTACCCACTTATACCCCCTCCACCCTGCAATCACCACACTGTTGTCCATGTCCATGAGCCTTCTTTCCTTTTTGCCCAACTCCTCCCCACCCTTACCACCCTCCCCTAAAACTGTCAGCCTGCTCTCTATCTATGAGCCTGTCTCTATTTTGCTTGTTAGTTCAATTTGTTCGCTAGATCTAACATATGAGTGAAATCACATAGCATTTGTCTTTCTCTGAATGGTTTATTTCACTTAGCATAATGTTCTCCAGGTCTACCAATACTGTCTCAAAGGGTAAAATTTTCTTCTTTTTACAGCCAAATAGCATTCCATTGTGTAAATTTCCCATAGTTGTTTTATCCACTCATCTACTGATGGACACTTAGGCTATTTCCATATCTTGGCAATTGTAAATAGTGCTGCAGTAAACATTGAGGTGCTTATGTTCTTTTGCACTAATGTTTTGGGTTTCAGCAGATATATTCCCAGAAGTGGGGTATGCTGGGTCAAAAGGCAGATCCATATTTAATTTTTCTTAGGTATCTCCATACTGCTTTCCACAGAGACTGCACCAGTCTGCATTCCCACCAACAATGCAAAAGGGTTCTCTTTTCTCCTCATCCTCTCTAGTGCTTGTTTG